CCCCCGCCCGCTCACCCGGGGTGTTGGTGGGCACCCCCCGCCCGCGCTCACCCAGGATGTTGGTGGGCATCCCCAGCAGCGTGTGGAGCATGTCGTGCACCTCCCGGTACCGCTGGATCACGTACGCCAGCTCCTCGTCATCCACGAAGCGGGTGGGTGCCCGGGTATCTGGGGAGACCCTCTGACAACCGTGAAGCTCCCCTAGACCGCATCCCAACGATCCCCGGCCCTGCTGGTCACCCTCTCTGCACCCCGACCACCCGTGCCACCAAGCTCACACCTCCCCCTGGGCAACAGTGGGGAGGGCACCCCTGGACCGCGAGCGTAACGTGGCCTGGTGAGGTGCGTGTATGGGGGGAGCGGGAGTTGTTTAACGGGGAGGGGGCGTGCACACGGGCTTCGAAGGCTCGGGGGGGGGGGGTGTCCCAGCGGCTGTCAGCGCCCAGGAGCGGGGCTGGCCGCTTTGCTCCCTGTCGTGTCTCCAGTCTGCTGAGTGACCGTGTCCTGAACGAGGGGTCTCAGGCCAGCCCAGCCGCTGCCTCTCTGAGCCCTCAGTTGCTCCCATGGAGAGGGTACAGCCTGCCCCCCAGCTGTCTTCACCGTCGGGGGCTGGGCGCGGGTCTGCGGCCCTGGGGCCCCAGGCCGGCTGCCGTGCAGCGTTCTGCCCGCTGCGCAAAGCTGAAGGTGACCGGAGGGTCGGCAGCGTGTTACCAGAGTCCCTCCCGTGCTAGGACCCCAGGGCACCCCTTGCCCGTGTTCTCACAGGAACGGGGATCCTGCCTGGAGCCTCAGATACAGGTAAGAAAGTCAAAGCTCAGAGAGAAGAAACTTGTCCAAGAGCCGCTGCTGGTCAGACGGCCCGGCCAGATCCGAACAAAGCCGCTGCGTCCAAAGCAATGGTCTCGCCCACGATTACCAAGCCGCAGCGCGCCCTGGAGGACACGCCGGAGGGCCCTTCTGCAGATAAGGGGTCGGGCTTTTACCCAGCGCCACAGAGCCCCTCTCAACTCCAGCCCCGCCTAATCTTGATGCCACAGGTGACTGGCCCTGCCACCGCAGTCTTCGGGAAGATGCCCGCACCTTGAACCTTGATAGGGATCTCTGCAGGACAAAGGTGCCCTTCACATCCTGCGGGCTGCTGGGTTCTGGGCTCCCAAGGGGCATAATCGTGAGGGCTGTGAGTGGGCAAGGTGCCAGGGAGGCCCTGGTCGTCCCATCCCCTCCACAGCCACAGTGCAAACGGCTCAGGGGGGGAGTCCGGAGCCTGCCCCTCTCTGGGTGGCACTCGGGGCAGAACAGCCCACCCTGAAGAAACGCCTTGGTCCTGACGCGGGCCGAGGGAGAGGGCTGGAAGGGGGAGGGGCAAGCGTCAGGGCAGCAGTGGGGCGCAGACTGTGGCCTCAGGGACAGTAACTTCTAGAACGGTGGTTCTCAGTTGTTCACCAGAGGGCGTTTGTAAAGTCTGGGGATACCTGTGGTGGCCACAACCTCGCGGCCGAGTGCCACTGGCCGGGCCGGGGGGTAGGCGCCAGGGGAGCAGCTCCACAAGCTCCAGAACAGCTCCCACAATCAAGAATTCCTGGCCCAAGTGGCATCAGTGTCAAGGCTGTTCTAGAGCCCCCGCCACGCCTCCTGCACCCCTGCCCCAGCAGGGCCGGGCCTCCTCCTGCCAGAGGTGCTCCGCCGGGCGTGTATGTGTTGAGTGGGAAGGGGTCCAGCTGTCCCCCAAATACTTCACTAGGTCCCGTTACTGTCCCGCAGGAGCCTGCCTGGGTTTCCTATTGCTCCTCTGAGAAAATACAGACCATTCCCGAGGCTGCCAGCCCCGGCCCGGCCGACCTCCCGGCCCTCGGGCTGCCTGCCCCGCCTCACACCTCCACGGCCGTTGTCCTGAAACACAGCCTGGCACTTGTGGGAACGCTCCTCCTCTCTCCCGGCTGAGGAGATGCTCCTGACCCCCCTGAGGGGTGGGGCCGCACCCCACCCCTCTCATCCCGCCCACTGGCCACCAGCCGTCCCCACTGCACCACCTGCCGGGACGGACACGCCACAGGGCCGGCCCTTGCTGGGTTCACTCGCTGGCACCAGCTGTTCTGGCACGTTCCCAGCACTCAGCGAGCATGTGCCTGGGTCTCTGTGCCTGCTCTTACTTTACCGCTTCAACATCCATCTCCCCGGCCAGGGAGCGCCAAGAGGGAGGCCCGCCCCGCTTCATGGGGCTGAGTTAGTTCCCTAGCGCCTGGCCAGACAGCACGGGCGTCGCTCCACAAAGGGAGCCCCTCGGAGCTGGGGTCCCCGCCCCAGCCACTATCCTCCCGTGAGGTTGAGAGTGGCAGCTGTAGCACAGCCACAGGAGAGAAACCCTGTCCCTGGAAGAGGGGCACAGGCCGCAGCAGTTGCTTCACTGCTGGAGTCTTCTTCTCCAAGAAAGGGGATAATAACAGAGCAGACTTGGTAGGGTTGTTGGCGACATCTGGCAGGCAGTCAGAGGTGAGTTAAGTGCTGGCCAATGTATTTGATAAAAACAATGTTCATCGGCCAGCCCCAGAGAAAAGGACAAAGCCTCGGCACCGAGGGTGGCACTCCTGCCCGGTGGCAGTCAGACTCCCCTTCCCTTGGGACCTCACTCCAGAGCCACTTCTGTGCCCTGCCTGGTCCTGCAGAAGCTGGAAACTCACATTTTCATCCAGAAAACGGAGATACTCGCGGCCCAGGGAGCCCTCAGGCAGGCTCTGGAGTTTGCCTAGGTCAAGGGTGGATAGGGAGATCCGGGGACGTTCCCTGCAGGCAGAAGGCGGCACTTAGGAATCGGGAGGGGGCAGAAGAGCAGGTGAAAGGTTCAGCCAGCGCAAGGTCAAGGAGCAGCAAGGACCTCAGCCCCAACGGGACACCTTCGAGCAGGCCAGCGGCAGGAACTGAGCAGATGAGCACAGCCACGGAATGGCTCCTGCAGGGTGTGGCACTGCTGGGGGCAGGGATCAGGTACTGCATGTTATAGGAGCGCAGGGAAGGCACAGAGATCTGAGGAGGCGACTGCACTGCACCAACCAGGGGCTGTCAGTGTCTGTGTGGATGGCACATGGGGAGTTGGGCAGCGCCCCACGGCCAAAGTCCCACGGTGAGCTCCCTAGGGGAAGCAGCCTGATGCAATGTGACTCCAGAAGGGCGGGGTCCCCAGACCAAGCGCCCAAGCCCCAGGCAGGGCGAGCACCTACTGCAGGATCTGGGCACCCTCCGGATCCCTCCTCATCTGGTCTCTGAGGACCTGCAGGGCGCGGAATCCAGTGGTCTCCCCTAGAACTGCAACCATGTCTGAAAGGAAAGAAATAGGGGGCAGGTGGAAGGCATGATCTCACATAAACGACCTGGCTTGGCTGAGCCTTACTTTCCTACCTGAAAAAACAGGGACAATGTTCTCCTTCACCATGAGGGTTCACCCCAAACATGCAGCACGTCACCCAGCTCCCAGGGCTCAATGTGATTACTTATTATTACTGCTGCTCTATCCTGCTCTGGCTAACAGCGTGCTAAAGGGCTTGTGAATCAGATTATCACATCTCTATGGATGGCACAAGCTTTGGCATCAGAGTTGGGTTGAGCCCAGGTGCAGGCATTATCTAGGTGACCTTGGACGAACTTGGCCGGTTCCAACTTCTTCAGTGTTCTATGCGGTTAATGTGCAAGCTCAACACCACCACACAAATAAAACGGTGCAAGGAGCAGCTAAAAGAAGTGCTCGGTGAGCGCTTGGCGTGGCCATTTTTAATAGGAGCAACGCTAGCGAATCCTAGGCTGTCCCATTCAAACCTCGGCAAACACTTTCGGAGCTTTTACTATGTGTCGGAATATCCCAAGTGCCGGCTCATTCAGGGGACGTGGTCTCTGACTTCAGAGTTTCATTTCTAGTGGGACCGTATAATTTGACGGGGGCGTACGAGTCAGTTTGGAGCAGAGTGTCTCAATGTGGCTGGGTGGCAGAATCTGCCCGCAGTGGTGTCCAGGCCGGAGCTCAGATTCCACGCCCCTTCCTTCCACCCCTCCCAGACCAGCAAATTCGAATGAGTGTAGGACAGAACCCAAGGTTTGCATTTTCCTGAACACTGCGGGCGCTGGTGGAGGGCTGCCGACTTGGGTGCCCGGGCCTAGCCTACGCTCCAGACACCCACAGGAAACAGGCTTTGACAGCGTCGGCCTCAGTCCTCGAGGCCAGGGCGCGCCTGGAGCCCTGGTTGCTCCACGTGGCGGCCGGGCGGCGAAGGCATTACCGTGGCGATACGGGTCGTAGAGCGCCATTCCCGCGGAGCCGGCGGCCAGCAGCGCCTTCTGCAGCGGGGACGTGGGGATGTGTTCGGGGTAGAGCAGGCCGGCGCCACGGCTGGCGGCTCGGACGGGCGCGTCTGCGGGGCGAGAAAAGGGCGGCGGTCAAAGGCACCAGGCGCCCCTAGGCCTCCTTCCCGCCGCGGCCACTTGCCTGCAGCCGGCCCCGGGCGACCCCGGAGCGGGCGGAAGGCGCGCAGGGGCCAGCGCAGCAGCGTCGCCATGGCACCGGGCGATCGGCGGGGTCAGCTGGAGGGCAGGGCGACGCCCCACCCGCGCTGGCGACGGAGCGCCGGACGCACCAAAAGGGCTGGCGCTTTGCTGCGCGGAGCTGGGTCTTTGGCGGGGAAAAGTCGTGGCCGGACAGGAAAGGGCTCTTTCGCTAAGTATGAGACGGCGACCTGTGCACCGTCTGCTTCCATCGACATAAATTCTCCCGTTGCCCGTAAAGGGGATCCAAAAGCAGCGATCAGCGCAGCTTGGCGCCGGGCCGTACTGCCTCCTCCACTCGTGTTTCCCCCCGAGGACAATAAGATGCGACCCTCTTCCGGCGGAGGAATATGGCGGCGCCCATCGTAAGCACATTTGGGGGCGGAACCGTACGGCACTTCCGTCCAGGTCCCGCATTGACACCCGCTCCGGCCGCGGGTTTCAGGCATGGGGTCCGCCGCCCTGGCGCGACTTCACGGGCTCTTCGCGGTGTACAAGCCCCCGGGACTAAAATGGGAGCACGTGCGGGATACCGTGGAGCTGCAGCTTCTGAAGGGTGAGAGCCTCGAACCAGACCCACCATCCCGCCTCTCTTCTCATCGGGACTGAGAAATAAGTGACCTGGTCGCCTGGACGAGCACTTGGCTAATCATCCTTTTCAAAATCCCCGTTACGCTTTCTCGTATGTTCAGGCTGCTAAACAGACTCAGTACTGGCCGTTGTCGTAAGTAGCTGAGTCAGGAGCGGAACCAGGTCTGGTTCTGACCGCCGCGGTTCTCTTCTGCCCGGGCTGCCATCTGTCTGCATCTCCTTACCTCCCTGCCGGTGTGCAGTCGGGTCCCCAGGTGTTCAGACGAGATGTTCTTTACCTGTATGTGCTCAGGTCTGAATGCTGGGAAGCCTCCTGCCCCTAAACAGCGTGTTCGTTTTCTGCTGGGCCCTGTGGAAGGCAGCGACGAGAAGGAGCTGACCCTCACAGCCACCAGTGTGCCCAGCCTCACCGACCATCCGCTGGGTAAGGCACACTGAGGCAGGGCGTGGGTGTCACGTGGGGGAAATCGCAGCCCAGAGTGGCAGCCTCATACTCCTCTGTCCCAGACGCTTGAAGGGTCGGAGTGGGCATGAAGTATTTGACCAGGGACTGGGCAGATTTCCCTGGAAAGAGCCAGATAGTAAAATATCTTAGACTTTGTAGTATCTTAGACTACATGATTTCTGTTGCAGCTGCTAAATTCTGTCATGATAGCACCAAAGTAACTATAGCCAGTATTGGTGAGCCTGACCAGTAAGGTTTTATTTATGTCATTTTTACTGACATTTCTGCATTTTGTGTAATTTAAAAAAAAGATTTATTTATGTGTGGGGTACAGGCCAGAGATGGGAGGGTGAGAGGATTCACTGGAGACAGTGGGGAGCAGAACAGGTAGATCCACTGAAACACACTGCTGAGGGGAGCAGCAAGGAGACAGGAGGGGTCTGCTGAGCCATGTGGGTCACTCCCTGGCTGGGGATCGAACTGGTGCTGCAGTGGGTTACTTGATAGCAGGTAGCTTGATAGGGCTGTCTGACCTGGGGCTGGATTTACTGAGGAAGGGCGCCTTTGTTTCTTTCCAGTACGTGGACCAGCGTTTACCAGCCTGAAGATAGGTGTAGGACACCGGCTGGATGCCCAGGCTTCAGGGGTGCTTGGTAGGTGATGCAGTGAGCCTGGGGGTAGAGATAGAGACTTGGGGGAGAAATCCAGGAGCCCAGTGTCCTCATAAACTGACAGGCACGTCACACCCTGTCCTCCCCTGGATCCAGTCCGGGTCTGAAGAGCGGGGAGATGGCTGTGGGTGCCACCTGCACCCGGTGAGTCCTGTGCCCTCTGGGCATGTGTCCTCACCACAGCCGCTCGCTTCAGGTGGACGATGTTGACTTTATGGATGAAGGAAGAAAGGCTCAAGCTTCTGGGGCTTGTCCTGGGGCTGGTGGCTAGTGAGTGCCCCTGGTCCAGATGGAAAACTTGGCCCGCATGGGAAACCAGCTGCGTGGCTCTGGCCTCATCAGCCAGGGCCCGGCTGTCACTGGGGCTGGACACACAAAGCCCCAAGTCATGAGTGTCTGTGTCCCAGGGTCAGGCAGAGGTCATATCCCGTCTGTGCGACGGTCCGTCCTCGTCTTGCTTCCTGGACACAGCACCAGACGTGAGCTCATGCCTCGTCTGAGTGCGTGGAGACGCGGGCAGAAGCAGGCAGGCCCCATCTGTTGGGCTCTTGCCTTGTGCTGGCTGCTGCCTGGGCACCCTCTCAGCCTTACCCACACCCACAGGGGGCTGACAGGACTTTTCTCCCCATTTTACTCCTCTCCTGAGGCCCAAGGAGGTTGTAGGGCAGCTTGGTGCCAGCCGGCAAAGACCAAGGGCTCTGACCTGATTGCACCAGTGACCCCTGGGAGCTTGCTGAGGACCCCAGCCCCCTCCCCACCTAGGGTGGGCCCCAGCCGCAGCATGCGCGCTCATACGCACGCGCTCCTGCAGAAGAGGCTCAGCCGCCTGTCCTCGAGCCAAGCGCGCTGTGTGGGGTCTGTGGTCCTGGGGGAGAAAGGAGCCAGGTGTGAGGTGAGGCTGGTGCCTTTCAGTGCTCGGCGTGGGACGCGGACGCAGGCTTCTCACTGACATGTACAACGCTCATCTCACCAAGGTAGGGTTCATGGTGCCGGGGGCCGGCTGCCTGTCCTTTGGGTCTTTCCATTGGGGTCACTGGCAGGATTCTGAAACGGGGCTCCACAGGCACCCAACTTATCAGCAATCTTTTTTGTTAAGATTTGTTTTATTTATTGCATCTAAGAACTGGGTGTAGGCCAGGGGTGCAGGGAGGGGATAGGATCCCCAGAGACAGAGCGGGGAGCAGAACAGTCAGATTGATGAAGTACACTGCTGAGAGGAGCAGCAGGGAGACAGGAGAGGTCTGCTGCACCCTGTGGGTCACGCCCCGGCTAGGGATCGTACTCAGGCCACAATGGCTGGGGATAGTTTCATAGTGCTGAGACTTAACCCCTTGCACCACCAGAGAGGCCCTCAACAGCTTTTAATGGGTGCGTGCTTGGGCCCTGCCTGGTGGCGTAGGGGCTGAGTCTCAGCACTATGAAGCTATGGGCAGCCACTGCAGCATGAGTTTGATCCCCGGCCAGGGAGGTGACCCCCAGGGCACAGCAGACCTCTCCTGTCTCGCCCACTGCTCCCCTCGGCAGTGCACTTCGTCCATCTGCCTGCTCTGCTCCCCACTCTGTCTCTGGTGAATCCCCTCACCACCCCTGACCTCTGGCCCCTACCCAGATCTATATGCATAAACAAATAAATCTTAAGAAAAAAAATAATGGCCGCGTGCTCGAGGAGCCTGACCGTCATGACTGATGACTGTCAGCGCTTTTGCCTTCAGGCCCTTGGGGGCGGCCTCTTGGGGTCCCTGTGAAGGGGGTCTGTTGCTGGTGCATTGACAGATGAGAGCACTGAGGCACAGCTGAGGGGTCGCTGGCCGACGGGGACGGCTGAGTGGACCTGGATCTGTCCAACAGCTGAACATGGTCAGGATGTCACTCCGTTCTCTCCCGAGACCAGACGGGGCGGCACCTTGGGGTCAGGGAGCTGGTGCCCAGCCCGGCCGTGGTACCACCTCGCACTTGTGTGTGGGAGCCGCCGCCCAAGACCACGCTCTTGATGTAGGAGGGCAAAGTGCAGCGCCAGGCGGCCTCGTAGCAAACCCAGCTCCCGCCGTCTGTTCCTGGGTGGCCTCCTTCGCGCCTTCTTTCAAACGGGAGTGGGGAGAGCCCCTCCTTCAGAGGGTCAGCTTGGCGCTCAGATTCATGGTGACGTGTAACATGAGTAGTCCTGGCACGCGGTGAAGGCCGAGTCACTGTCCTGGCTTCGCGGTGGGCGCCGCCTTACTTCTGGTGGCAGAGCTGCTGTGGGCCGCATGGATAGTATTTAGTGGGCATACCGGAGGGCCCCCCGCAGTGAGGCTCACAGCAGTGTGGCACAGGTGGCCATCAGCAGGCTGCTGGGGGTCACTCCTGGGACTGTCCCAGGGCAGCAGGACAGGGCTGAGCCCTGAATCCCTGGGGAGACCCTACAGCCCACACCTGGCAGCGGAGAGCACCCCACTGGTGTGAGGTTTGGCGGGGACCCCGACCACCTCTCCCCCTGTCCTGGCAGGACTACACAGTGCGTGGCCTACTGGGCAAAGCCACCGACGACTTCTGTGAAGATGGGCGGCTGCTGGAGAAGACGACCTACGGTGAGCGCGCGCGGCAGGCGGCCTCTGTTCCTCAGCCATGGTCGCCTGGGATGCGCCCCGCTCGGCTGGCCACGAGGGGCTGTCCTCCAGGAACACTCTGCGCCCCCAGTGCCCTCGCATGGCTCACGTCCCACCCCAGTAAAGTCCCAACTTGGACTGAAGGACTCTGAGGAGGATCTAGTGGGTCTCCGCCAGTCCACTGTCCCCGAGGGCAGGAACTGTGCGGCTCCTCTCCCCAGTGGCACGGCACCGGGTCCTGGAGGTGGGAGGTGCTGTGGGCATGGGTGGGGGCAGTAGATGGGAGAGGGACGGATGGGTGGGCGGAGTGATGGGCGGGAGGGGCAGCGGGGATCGATGGGAGTGAATGGCGAGAACATGAGTGCGTGAGGGCTGGCGGCTGACTCCACTCACCCCTTGCTCTGGACGGCCCCACAGGGTTTCCTGCATTTACTTGTGTGACAGATGTTTTTTGAGCACCAGCCATGTGCCAGGCCTGGGGACAACAGACAGCGAGGCACGTGGGGTTTCAGGAGCTCACAGCCTGTCAGGCAGAAGAGACACTCTGACCTCTTCTGTGAGAAATTTAAAATGTGCCGAAACAACACTAGGCACATGTACATGCGGGCGTGTCCACATCCGGGGACGCCTGAGAACAGCCACGTGCCACATTTCTGGGAGGGAGGAAGCCAGGATTTGGAGGAGGCAAGATGGTCCTTGGTGCTGATCTCAATTTCTTAGCGCTTCCTTCACCAATATATAATTAAAGTAAGAGACAGTTAGGTGCTGGGAGAGACACCCAGGTGCCGAGTGGCAGAGGCAGGAGCTAGGAGGAAAAAAACCACATGCCAGGAAGGCTTCCTGGAGGAAGCGGCATATGCTCTGGTCTGTAAGTTGGGAGCAGGTGAAGGCAGCAGCGGGTACGTTCCAGGTAAGAAATGAGTGAAAGCAGACACAAGAGGGGAGCAACCTAGACCAGACCTGGCAAAGCTTCAGTCACCACAGCTGCCCCGGTGCTCTGGCCTCTGTCCCCACGGGGCCCCGGGATCAGCCAGCTTCCCAGCGGCACCTGCTAGTGCTCCCAGGCTTTGCTGTCGCCTGTCCCGCAATCACTCCATGGGACCAGCAGGCAGAGCTGTCCCACTTCTGCCACCTGTGTTTCTGTTCAGAGAGATGGCATCGTCCCCCCCGGGGTCCCTGGCATGAATGCCCCAGTCTGGAGCGTAAAGTAATAGCCTGTTGCTCAATTCAGACATCTTTGGCCTCCAATGGTGGGTTTTTTCCCCCCTCCCTGTAGTAATGTTACTTTGCAACACCGCAAGGTACCAGGAGTACGATTTGCCCACCACGCCCTCCACCAAATGTCCAGTCACCACCTACCCGGCGGCTCCTCCCCATTCTTGCCCCTGCCCCCTGGCCACCACCATTCTGTTGTCAGAGGCTGTGGGTTTGTTTTTTTTTTGTTTTTTTTTAATGTTCCACAAAAATAGTGGAATCATTTGGTGTTCTTCCTTCTCCTGACTCGTTTCACGTAGCCTCATTATCTCCAGTCTGTCCTTGTCCCAAATGGCAGGGTCTCATCTTGTTGATGGCTGGGTACTCCACCGCGGGTGTGCACCGCGTTCGTTTTCTGAACACGTGTTTCTGTCGAGGGCACTAAAGCTGTCTTCGTAGTTTGGTCTTTGCGAATGACCATGGTGGTACATCTGTCCTCTGAAGTTAGTGTTCTCATGTTCCAGAAGAGGTTCTTGACCTGGAGTCTGAGCCCCGTGAAAGTGTTCTCAGAATGTGGTTTCTGGGTGTCACGTGAGAAGAGACTCCAGTGTTTCAGCAGTGGTCTCCAAGGACTCTCAGCGCCATGAAGGGAAGCCTGGGCGTGGGGTGTTCAGCAGCTCCTCCAGGTTCCCAGGATGAGGCTGCTTTGGGGGAAGGGAGTGGGCAGTTTGTCACTCACCCTCCGGGGCACCTCTGTGCCACCACCCCCTGCTCTCCAGATCACGTGACCAGAGAGAAGCTGGATCGAATCCTGGCCCTGATCCAAGGCTCCCATCAGAAGGCCCTGGTGATGTAAGTGGAGCCTGACCCCCACACCCAGCACGCACCGAGCCAGGGTCAGCACGTGTGGGACCTGGCAGCAGGAAAGGGCAGAGCCCGCATTTGGGTGGCCGGGTGGGCACAGGGAGGCTACTGCAGAGGTGGCTGAAGACACCGCCTCCCGCCTCACCCCTGCCAACCCCCAGGTACTCCAACCTGGACTTGCAGACCCAGGAGGCCTATGAGATGGCCGTGAGGGGCCTGATCCGGCCCCAGAGCCAGTCCCCGATGCTGGTCATTGGCATCCGCTGCCTCCACTTTGCGCCTCCAGAGTTCCTCCTAGGTAAGCTGCTGGGGTGCGGGCCCAGGGCTTGGGGGGGCCGCAGTGGAAAGCCCTGGCAGAGGCTGGCACCTGCCAGTGCCATGCTGTCCCCACAGCCCCGCGACGCCTGACCTCGACGAGGGTTTATGTGGCGGCTCCTTTCAGGCCGGGCACCGCCGCTCCCGCTGCCAGTGCTGCCCAATACAGCCCCCACTAGCTCTGTCCTTTTGTCTGCTCCCCCACACCACATTCACCTCTGCTGGTCCTCGGCGAGGGCTCCTCTTCTGGAGCCTTCTGGTGCCAAGCACCTGGTGTAAACCCTCTGGTACCGGCCGTAAGCGCCCAGCTCACAGGTGAGTAAGCCAAGTCTTCTCAACTCTTAACTCGCCCACAAAGCAGATGTCTTTTTTTTTTTTT